CATCAAGTTTCATAAAAAAACACACACACAGTTTCTGAGATATCATTAGAACAAACAGACACAAACACTTACACATACAAATACAACAACTGCAGAGACTCACAAATTTATGCTGATTAATTTAGTTTCATCATTTCCTTCTGGATAAAGGTCTTACTCAAAATTTTGTAAAAAATAGGAAAAAAATTATGTAGGTTTAAACTTCTGATGGTGACAAAAGTTAACATTGGTGTTCAGAGAGTTAAACTAGGAATTTATTTTACATTTGTTGAATACATTATATGTAACTGATATCGAGCACTGACAGGACGGGATGACTTTATTTTAGTGTCAGAGCTCAGTATAAAAAAAAAAATACAGATATTAATACAGAAAACAGAAATTTGAAACAGATGACATTTAAAGCAGTGAACGTCGCCCTCCAGCTTTTGACAGACTATATTGACTTACAGATACTTAACAAGTTACCAGCAAATATCGATTTACACTGAGCATCAATTTTTTTAATGAATCGAATGTGCAAATTGATAGATACATTGAATTTTCTTGTACCAAGTGTGGATCACACTGCTGTACATTTTGTATGTATGAGAAAGCTTGTCTGTGCGTGACTGTGCAAACAAAATTGAGACAAAAAGTGTGAAAACATCGCCATGACGTTCTTTCAGATTCTGTATACTCATTGTATCTTGCTATAATTTCAAAATGGTTTGGCAAAAATAAAATGTGCGGATTTACTGATATTTAAAATTTGTGTGTGAAAATAACATAACACAAATTTCAGTTTTAAACACATTAAAATTATTGTAAATAATATTTATTATTGTAAATAATTTGGTGTCTTGCACATCTAAATTAATTAATTCACCGGTCAGGGGGAAAAATATCTCTACATATACAGAACATAGTTAAACTATACATGGCTTGCTCTGTATAAGTAAGGGCAGGCAGATCATAGCATGAAGTAAGGATACCATTACATAGGTGGGGCAGATCGCAGCATAAGATGTACTACAATGGGTAGGGGAAATTACCGCATAGAGTGAGAAGATCATAGCATAGGGTGAGAAAGGTCATCTATGCATATTAATTAACAATATACTGTGGAATACTTTATTTTCGCTTGGAATTAATTTTCGCTATTTTCACTGAAGGAATGAATCAGTGAAAACAAGACATGACATGTCATGTCATAGCCCCCGCTCAGAAAAAATTTAAAAACTTATATTGAACTGGGTTTGTGTCAGAGTGAATTAATTCAATAGTTGTGTTCACGTTACACAAAGTACGGGCTAAGATTTAAGCTGATTTAGGCTTATCTAGCATATTTGCATTTCGGTTAGACCCAATTGTGTCCACGCACAGGGAGGGCCAGTCGTTAGCACGGGCTAAGGTGCAAGCCGCTATTTACGAACGGAAAATGGATGACACGCGTGAGGTTCTATTTCTGCTGCTGACATGTTTCGTTCTAATTTTGAAGTGACGTGCACAGGAACGTGAGAGAAAACTGACCCAACTTATTTGGATACACAGAAACAGTATACAACGGGATAACAGAATAAAAAGTTTTATTAATGCATGTCGTGGACAGCGAACCAAACTTATTTTGTCTACAATTGGTGCTGCTGTATGCTCTACTACAGCGACCCGATCAGTGTGGAAGCGTGTACACTGAGCTCGGTTGCCATTTTGGGAATGAGAAAGTTGGATATATTTGATCACGTGCATAATGTTCACACCCAAAGGTCGCCGCTGAATAGCCCTGGGCTAAGCGTTCGCACACACTTCGTTAGCCCATGCTAAGGGTCTAGACCGCGTCTTAAATTCGGATCAGATTTAACCCGTACTTAGCATTCCTTAGCTGTGCTAAGCGTTCACGCACATTTGCTTAGCACGGGCTAAGGAATTGACCTCTTAGCCCGTGCTAAGGAGCTGTGCGTGAACGCAACTATTGTGAGCTGTATTAAAATTCCATTATTAATTGTTCAGAATTGATGTGTTACAATTTTAGGGGGTGGGGTAAAAATTTATTCATTTGGCTTTTCTGAGACAATTTATAACTTGTTAAACATATAATGCGATGTGCACTTGTAAACAATTATTACCTGTCCCTGTATCAACTTTGAACAAAACTGGATGACGAATATCTGAGAAAAAGCTTGTTTTTTTTTAGATTTTTAAGGAAAAAAATGGCCTCCAAGCCGTAAAAATTAATTCAATCAAACAGGTCATGAATGACACTGCCTTCACTTGTTGTCATTTGAAAGTTGCAACATATCATTTGTCCAGTCTTTGGCATGGACATAAATTGGCAAACATGATTTTTATGGCATTTTCAAGGTGTAGCACTCTCCATCCTGGTCTC